TCAGAAGTTGCTCCGAGGTATGACTCCGAGGTATGCTTACGAGATACAGTACCGAGGTATGACCGTCTCCGTGTTCTAAGTCGCCCACAATCAAAAATCTCAACATTTTTGTGAGTAGTTAATAGATGCGATTTTAAATACAACTTCATTATCACAACTATATCTTTTTGCTTTGGTATTAAATTTATTTTTTGATGGATAACAATTTGTATTATCAAATTTTGTGAAGAACTACACTTCTTACGTTATCTGATATTTTATTGTAAAAGTTAGCAATTTCTGTCTTACTTGGATTTGGAAAGGATGAGGTTTTTTTTAGTATAGAATTTTGTTTGTGTTTTATTATACTTTTGTTTCAAATTTATTTTTAGAATCAGTGAAACTTATATTTATGAAAATGGCAAAAAAGAAACTTCCTTAAGATTTGGCGGCATAAATAAAATAATGTTGCCCCAACATGAAAACAGACTTCGCCAAAACCTTGCATACATATGTAATGTGCATTTATAATTTCACTATCTACTTGAAGGCTAACCCATACCCTCGTTGGAGTTTTAGAAAAAATGCTTTGTTATATCTTACACGACTAGTAACTATATAAATAGACCTTACACCATGACTAAATTTAAAGGAATGTAGTGAACAAGACCACTGATTACATAGTTGTAACATTGCAAGTTGCTAGGATCAAAAATAATATCTAGATCTGATCGTTTTTTCTTCGTATTTTTTTTTTTTTTTTTTTTGCTTCCAAATTAAGAAACCTAAATCGTAAACCAACGGCTTTTAGTAAAGTATAATCAATGAGTACTGTAAAAATTACTATTACTTTATTTTCAAGAATTTACTTACTTTATCGCAAAAAAATCCAAGCATAATATAACTTTGAAAATTTTGTGTGCATGGTTTCCCTTAACTAATGCTTTATTTTTGTGTCAAAAGATAACAGAAACGTAAAGTCTATAGATAAAATAAATAATAAAGATTTTTATTAAAACTTTAAAGCTTTATAATAATTCAATAAATTTTTAAAACGATGCCTACGATATTAAAAAAGGTTTTTTTTTTTGTACATTTCTTTAATAATATTTGTGCTACTAAAAGTTTTTCTTAAATGTCTATTAGGGTTTCATAAAAAATGTAAGAAAAATGTACTAGTTTAATTTATGACGTACAATACCGTGAACGGGGGGTGAACTATGAACGCTTTTGAAACATTTTTGTATCATAGAAGAAAACTGTTAGCCTAATCGCTAACCTTTTTTTTGTAACAGAACATTATACTTTTCAGCTTCCTGAAATATTCCTAGGCCTGATCAGCACTATGCAGTAAATACCTTAACTTTCTGGTTTTATATGACCATATTTCCAAAATGGGGTTAGAATGAACAGCCGATTCGGGATGACTTTGAACAATACATAATAATTTAATTTTTTATTTTGTGCGCATTTTAAGTTGCTCAAAGTCCGTTAATTATAGTTTTTAGCCTCAAAGTGTTATTTAACTTGTTTAATGTGTTCTTTTTGAAAACTGTGAAAGTATAATAAAATAAAATGTTGCCTCTACTTTGTTTAATACTCCTAACTAATTTTTTTTCTTTTTTAACTTCGAATCATAGTTCCTAAAGTTTTCAGAAGAAAACTTAAATTATTTGTAGAAAATGTCATTTTTAAATGACCATAAAATCTGAAAAAGACAAGATATACCATAATTTATAGTTTTATTAGAGCAATATGCATTTGAACTTGATGTGCGCTAATTTTTATAAAGTTCTGATTAGCGGTTTTTAAGATATGCTATAATATATCACTAATGACATCATTCATCTATTGCTTTTAAAAAACAATTCGACGTGTATAAGCCGAAATAGCTCAGTTGGGAGAGCGTCAGACTGAAGATCTGAAGGTCCCTGGTTCAATCCCGGGTTTCGGCATTCTCTTTTATGCGATATTAAAGTTTCTTTGATAAGAAGTTTTATTTTATTTGATAATTAAGTTAAAACATGGAAATATTAAACAGAACCGCATTGAATTACTCCTTGTCATGTACTAACATTTTGTTTCCTAACTTGTTATGTAATAATCTTTTGTTTCGTAAACAAAAAGAAAACGACTCCAAGACTTAAACGCTTACGCTATAGCGTAAGTCTTAGCGCTAACAGGTGCGTTCATAATAATTTAAATATGTAGTATAAGTATTTGAAAAAAAAGGCAATAAAACGCCAAGTAACAACTTTTTTATAAACCTAATATTAAATGAATTCGATATACAACTAATGAAACTTCGAACTTTAGTAATTTGGGGTCATCCATAAATTACGTCACGCTCTATGGGAGGGAGGGGGAAGGGGGTAATGTTTTTGTGACGACTCATACAAAACTTGCTACTAAAGTGTTACGATTTTGTGTAGAGGAAGGGGAGGTCTTGTCTCAGAAACGTCGCACTTGTCTCAGAAACTTAAGATCATTGGTTCGAACCCCACCTCTGGGCAAGTTTTGCGACATCGGTTGGGAAGGAGGCGTGAACTTCCTATTAAATGCTTTTCCGCGGTGCTCTGTGATAAGACCGTAAGGACTTCTTCGGGCACCTTAATCAACTTAAAAAAAAAAAAAAAGGTCAAAAACGGTCAAAAATTGCGTGACGTAATTTATGTAACGCTTTGAAACATTTTTCTTGATTTTTTAAATTAATAGAAAATATTTTAATGACAGACCATATAAAATCTGCTTAGTTTTTGTATTTGAGGTTGAAGGTTAGTATTAGGATTAAAATTGTACATTAAAAAAAAAATTGTTTTTAAATTTAATAATAAAGTAATTATAAACTATTTTTTTACAAAAAAAAAAAAAAAAAGATTTAGTATTCCGTAAGCCCATAAACAGTTAGTCAATGTAGCTCGTGCTCGATTTCACATGAAAGTTATGCGCTATGGTAATTATAATGGTAGCTAATCAAACTTTGTTTTGAAGCAGTCAACACTGTAGCACAAACAACTTTGTTAGGTAGTGCGTCTAATTTTTTAATACACTACCTAACAAAGTTGCAACGCAGTTTTTGAAGAAGTTGAGCTAAAGAGACATTTGTTGACGATTTCACTAATAAAAGCCCTACTTTTTCAAGTAGTATTTGATTTTTGAAGCAAAAGAAAGAATTTTAGCGTTGCATTTTTTAGGCAAATAAACTACCTTGCCTCTACCAGGACCCGGCTAGTTATCAAGTATTTGCGTTTTTACATCGAGTTTAAAGTAGACGAAAAGCCTAATTTAAAAGCCTAGACGAAAAGCCTAATTTAAAAAATCAAAACCAACAATTTTGCTCAAATCGTTGGTGGAGATGGAGAAACTTTAATTTGATGCGTTGGTGAAACCTACTGAAGTGAGGTTTTTGACTCACGATAGAAGAAGTGCTGTTTGTGATTAAATAAGTATTTTGGTTAAATAAGTTGAGTGATAAATAATTAGTTTCTAATGATAAATAATTTTGCTTTATCTTTGATAATTAAGTTAAATAAGATGGCTGATAATTTAGTTGATAAGATTGTTGATAAAATGGTTGATTAATGCCCACATGCCAATGCCTAGCTAGTTGACATAATGTTGGCATGTGGGCAGGGTGCAACATTCATAGAGCACCAAAATCCTTTCAGATAAATTGCAAATACCTAACTCGTATAACTGTCAAGGAAATAAAATGAATGTACGCATATTGTATTTTCCCCTAAAAAAAGGGGGTATTGCTTTTGTTATAAAACCATTACGAAAATAGGCCTAATTTGTGCGCGTTAACGACGCGTTCACAAAATACGCATCAAAACACAGTTTTCGTTGATCTTGGTGTTAAAAAATGCAGAGACGTAAAGCTATATTTTTATTGATCATGCTTGTTTTTAATATAGTGCTGTGATTTTAATTTGAATCTATTAGCTATCAGTTTAATACTGTAGTGTAATCATTTTTTTTATGTATATATGTATGTATATGTATATATATATATATATATATATATATATATATATATATATATATATATATATATATATATATATATATATATATATATATATATATAGAGAGAGAGAGAGAGAGAGAGAGAGAGAGACTCAAGTTCAAATAACAGCGCTATATTAAAAACTCAAACTGAAAAATTCGATACTGTAAGACGGGGTGAACACGGACAATTTTTAAGTAAGTACCACTGATTAAAAACGTTTAAGAGTTGGCTAATTCGTACATCTTATTATTTGAGAAAAGCCAAACAGTGACTTGTTCTCAACTTAAAAAAAATATAAAGTGAGAGCCTATCCCATATTTTGCAGGAAGCAGAAATGATTCAAGACATTTTTCCGAGAACAAAGCTTGATCAACTCGGTCAAGATACAATTTTCTTTTTTCCTGAACTACCCACACAGTTTGTATTACCCCCAATAATGGATATTTTTACTTCAAAATTGAAATCAATCGAAATACATTAGTTAACGTCAGGTGTATGTTCTGTAATTTCTGACTGTTTCAACAAATTGCTTACGCAATAGTTTCGTAAAGTTTCACAATTACACATTCAGTGTTTTTTCCTGCGATATATTCATGAAAAAAAAAAATTGTTTTTTAACTATGTGATATTCGTCATCACGTTATTTGAAAAATTAAAAGTTTTTGTTTTTCAAACTATTTACTAAAATAAGGAGGTTTTTATTTGATGTTTTATTATTGAGTCAAAATTTTTAAATATTATGTAACAAATAACAAAATTTTTTTCACCACTTCAAAACACCGAATTTAAAAAATCGGTGTTTTGAAATGGTGACCATGTAAAACATACTTTACCCTCGATTAGAAAGGATATTGTTTGAACTGCAAAAATTTAACATAGACAAAATAAAAAGGTATTAAAAACACATCTAGTGTACTCATGTCTATCCAATCCTTCCATAAAAGGATTGTTTAGTTCTTTTGATTGTGAATTTCACTGGATGTGAATTGTTAAAAGATTACACATTTAATATTTTGAATTTTGACAATTTCTTAACATTCTTCAAAAATGTTTTTCAACTATAAAAACATAGCGTGTTTTGTTAGCCAAATACAAGATTTCTGATGAATCGATTAAAATAAATAATTTAAACATTTCATAAAATATACCAACTAACGTTGTCTCGGCATTTTATTGCCTCACTTCGTTGCGTTCATTGAGTCTATTTTGCATTCTCAAGTATGCTCATAAAATCCCACCTTAGTTTTTTGCAACTCGTCTAATGCTTCGGACACTGCACGTTCAAAGTCGTTTAAGTGTTTCTTATTGTTTCTAAAGAGCGTGAACAGAATAAAAATATTAGTAATACCATTTATTTATTTTTTTTCAATTTCAAAACAAATTTTATAAATCATACTTTATAACATTAAAATATACCTTTTTATACTATTTCGATCGAAGTTAGACTCTTTAATGAATAAATCTAAACCGTCTTTAAATGAACTCAAACGGCTCTGGTAAACCAAGTGTATTTGATTTGTTCCAAACCAACTTACGTAAAGCATCTGTCATTAAAATTATAAAAATGTATAAACCTTTTGTAATAATAAGCCATCACAAAACCTAGTTCGTTATTAGAATTTATTTGTTGCTTACTTTTTGATTTTTAAATTTTATTTAGGGGATAGGTGCCAGATAGCATGTTTATTTTTAACGTTAAACTAATTGTAATGTTTTTTACATTTTTGCAAAAATAAAACAAAAAAAACAACAAAAAAAAAACAATATTTTATTAAATAGAATTTCTATAGAAAAAAAAATTCAAATATTTACTTTATCAGATTTCCTTGTCAGGGAATCTGTTAAATTGGCTCCTTAACAGAGGAGCCAATTCCCTTGTCAAGTAAATATTTGAATTCATTTCAAATATTTACTTGACAGCTATTTTCGCAAGAAGGGATTCAAACTTTTTCAGTTATTATCTTATAAGAGTCAAGATCTAAATCTCAGTTAAACGATTCTGACGATTTCGACTTTAGGTTGATTAGAAGGAATAAGGCAACCGTTTAGCTTATTGCTTATACTTCATCTATGATTGAGGCAACTTCTCTAATTATTTGTAACACAAATAAAGTACCTAAAGATAACCACAAAAAAAATCTTCATTACTACCAAATCCTTTCATGGTCTTTTAAGTAACTTTTCATTGTTTGAATCTTTCATTTTGCAAAACTTACCAGACATACAAGACTTTTTCTTTGTTGAAATTCGTCTGTTTTTTATCTTGGAGTGTCTACTATCTTTTAATTTGCAAAATCTCCTATATTAATATGCTTGGTCTCGACATATACTTACAATTCACCTATTTATTGTGAAACCAGGTTTTATTCCACTGATTAATGTGTTTTTACTCTTCACTTAATTACCTTTCGTTTTGTTCTTTATCATTCTCCTCATTCAAAAGACTGCACTCAGCCAATAATGTTGTTATTAGTGACTTAAATGCCTAATCACACTGAATGGCTTGGCTCTAGCAATACTGACGTTGCTGGTTTTAAAGCTCAAAATTTTTATCTTTCTCAATTTCTTATTCAAATAGTAAACTTTGTGACTTGTTTTTCAGATAACCTTATCACTTACCTTCACACCTAGATTTTTGTTTTGCCACTAACTCTAGTTTGTGCTCAGTTTCTCCTCGTTCTCTCTTGATAGTTTCAGATTGTGATTGTTTTAGTGTGATGCTATAATCACACTAAAACTTTTATATTAAATAAGTCAAGTTTAATCATGGTTAAACAAGTCAATACTCACTCTACTCAATGGTTCATTACATGCAGCTACTACTTCTAATCATATTTATCTTTTTTGCTCATAACAACAACTCTTTAGAAAATATTATCTGATGCTAAGATCCATTGTTATTAGATAAACATAAACCTTGTATATTATAGAAACTAGATTTGAGAGATTTTTATAAAATCTTAAGACAAATATAACATCTAGTTTCTGTTGCTCAAGTTTTTTTTTTTTCAAACATTTCTACAGCCTGTGGTCTGGATAACACTTGTGTTGCAGACTTATAAAAGTGTTATTCAGAACTCTTTTCAAAACTTTCTAAATTATTTAACAAGTGCTTAACTGACTCTTGTTTTTCAGCTTATTCCCTTATTCTACTGCTGAGTTGTTAATCATTATAACAAAAAAGGTTTTATCATGCATTAGATAGAAGGGGTGAAGCAATTATATTTGACATATCAAAGACTGTCAATAAAGTGATTGTCAATAATCTAGCTAGTCTTCTGTATAAGCCCTCTTTTTATGGTATATGTGAAAAAGTTTTTAAAATTATTGAACCATTTTTTTATAAGTGCAGCATTAAAGTTGTCCTTGATGGACAACTTTTTTTTTTTTCTTTTAAGTAACTTCTGGAGTACCAGAAAGCTCCATCCTTGTTTCTGTGTTGCTTCTCATCTGTTTTGCTTATCTTCCTGATAATTTTACCTCAAAAGTGGTTCTACTTGCTGATGATCACTACATCGTCGGGGATAGTGCTAAACCGCGTAATTAGCATTGGATAATACCACGTATCTGCACTACGAAACTAATTTTTTTTTTTTATTTCAACAGATTTTGGGCTCATTTTAGTATAAAGAGTATTATTTATGATTTTAGAAATGCAAAAAATAAATATTTTGTGTTGAAATTATTAATAACCAATTATAGTAGCCAATGCTAGTTATGCGGTTTTGCACTATCCCCGGCGTTATACTACAGTTTTTATCACTTTTTGATTGCTTAGAACAAGAAGCTGACCTAATAAAAATTGTTGATATTCCTATACTGACGAATGGCAGCATTCTTAATGGGTCATCTATTTTACATCTTTTCAGATTATCTTTCAATCTTGACCTATCATGGATGCCATATATAAAATCCATTGCAAAGTTAATATCTGAAATGGTTGCCTCTTCATATTACCATTTTTTTCATTCCTGACTCTCTACCTTTTAGGGGACTCTGATCTGCCATAATAAAAATATTGATTGAAATAACTTGACTATTAAAACAATTCAAGTATAATAAATTATTATTTTTCTTTTTTTTTATTACAATTATTTATCTTTAACCATTAAATTTTCAGAACATATAAATGATGAGTTCAGCATACTGACACATGCTGTGTATACATGCTGTCTATAGAGATTCATGTTAACACCTGTATATCATACCAAAGATAAGTCAGTTTATGTTAACACCTGTATGTCAAACAAAGATAAGTCAGTTTATATGTCAACATTGCTAAATGTTGACCTAGAATTTAATGACTGCGTACATACAAAATGTAAATATCATTAAGTAAACATACGAACAATTACTACATATCTAGACAAATATACATTTTACATGACTTTCATTATACCACATGATATTTCATTATAAAGCATCAAAGCCTATTTATGATACGTTATGCATAAAATAGTATTTACAAGCTGTAGAGTTTTGTACAACAGACATGTAGAGTCTTAAAAAAAAAAATTTTTAATGTAAAATTTTTTATTTAAATGTAATAAAAAAAAATACATTTTTTTATATTTATGTTGGTAATTTACTTTTTTTATCTTTTGCAAAATAGAATGCAAGTCATAAGCCCAGTATATTTGCACTCATAAGCACATTTAAACTCAAATATTTAATAAATTATACATACATCAAGTATATTTTTATTTCTTGGTTTTTAACTCATTTTTATTTCTCGTCTATGTAAACAATCGGGTCATGCATAGAAATAAAATATGAACAAACAGTAAAAAAAAAGTGTAAATATTAGAAAACACATAAGAAAATTTTATTGCATAAGAGATCAAACATTATTCTTGTGAAAAATAATTTTTGAATTATAATACAAATCAAAAAATATATGTAAAACAAGATTTTTAATTTATTGTTTGTCTTTCTCATTTTTTTTTTTTAATAATTCAATTTTTTAATTATATAATAGTGTAGAATTTTCGGGCACTGGTATCAAACTTGGTATTTAACTGAGCTAACAGTTAAATACCAAATTAGATACAACATAAGGCGAAATTTTTATTAGTTTTTCTGATGGGTTTTATTTTATTTAAAAAATTAAAAAAAAAAAGTCCAAAATTCTAACAAAAAAATTATTTGCCTAATCTTTTATGCAAAAGAAGGAATAAATATAAACTTATAAAAATTTGATGTCATTATAAAATATAACTTTTTTACCTTTAGGAAGTAAATTAAGTAAAAACTGTGTTATGTTTAAACCATGTTAAAACTATGTTATTTTTAAAATATGTTATGTTAAAACTGTGTTAAAATAATGTAAGAAAAAAGTTAAAGGTTTAAAAAAATTTTATATTTATTCTGATTCACTGCCAACAAGGCTGCAAGCAACCACTAGTATATTAGGAGTTACTAGAAAAAAATAATAGAGTTATAAAGCAAGGAAACGGTTGACAGAAGACTTAAAAAGTTGAAGGTTGTATGAGTCAGGAAAACATGGAACTTATTCCCAAGATGGGTTTTGAAACTTATTCCCAAGATGGTAATAAATTCCAAAGAGTTGAAGTGCTAGAAAAAAACTAGACAAATAAAAGTTTTGAGAGCATGCAGGAACAGATACAGTAAACAAATGAGACTTTACTGAATGACAAGTCAAACAAGAATGAGTTTTAGTTGATGGAACTAGAAAGCTCCTTTGAACAGCGCCTATGGTAGTATTTGTAGAAAAGAGAAAGAGATACAATTTTACGGCAATCGGAAAGAGACTCAAGCTTAGCTTAGCAGTTAGAGCGGTTTTAACTATGTTTACAATGCATTTTTGGACATTGTCTAGAAGAAAAAGAGCATCATTAGAAGAACCAGACCATATATGACAACAGTATTTCATAAAGAGACAAATAAAAGATTTGTAGAGAAGTAGAGAATGGAATCAGGAGTAAGAAAAGGGCAAGCACAATAAAGAGATGTAACCTTAGCGGATGTTTATTTAGCAATCAATTGTATATATGGCTTTCATGAAAGGTCAGTATTGAACAGATCTTGAATCTGATCTCGCAGTGGCTTATAAATTTTCAACTTTATAATCCTGTCTTATAAAAAAAAAAAAATTTCAAGACAGGAGTATAAAAATGAGTCATCAGCAAAAAAAGCTACTTTGGATGTAAGGTTGTTGGGAAGATCATTAATGTAGATAAGAAACAAAACAGGTCCAAGGATAGAACCTTGAGATAGAACCAAGAGTTAGATATGTGTTGATCAAAACCTCAAAGACCTTGCTAATAACAGAGAGAAAACTGATTTGACGATAAGCGGATGGGTCAGAATGTTCACCTGAGTTTTTGAAAATTGAAACATTTAAGTTTAAAGAGAATTTGAATCATCCTAAGCAATGATCTATGCAATTTCCTCAGCCCTGTTGTTTAACCTTAAGTAGTAATATAGGGCTCCTTATGTGGCCTCAACAATGGACACTAGTATTAACAGGGATACCACCCATGCGCAACATGGCACTGTTAATACTCTGATATTTTCAGCTGTTGATAGAATCAGCCTCTCCTAAAGCTACCACAGAGTTTGGGAAACCTTAATACTAGTTGGCCTCAGAACCATTAAACTGAGTTTTAGAGATGTACCCTCATTAGGAAATAACAGGAAGAGCTGCATAGCCACTATCAAGGAGGCACAAGCAAAAGTCTCTGGGTAAAGTCAAAAAGATCCAGCAATCAGCAAAATTATTTTGCTTAAACCTAAAGTCTTTGCCTAGAAAGCCCTCTACAAGACAATAGCTGGATGCAGTTAACATCTGCCCAAGATGAATATTTTTATTGAGACACAATCTCTAGCCTTTACTCAATTAAAAGCCCCAAGGCACAGAATTTTAAAGTCGGAGTTTGGTTCTCCTAGCCTATGTCTAAAAGCCAACCCTATAAGGCAGCAGGGCATGGGGCAGGTAATACTGGGTTACATAATACCAGTACAGGGAGATCGCGATGATCCAGAACCTGACCTGACCTGGAATAGTTTAAAGAAGCTGTTTCCTGCAAACAGTACTTTAAAAACATTAGGCATGATATTTTGGAAATGCATTAGAAAAAACACTACATCTTACAAAATGCTGACAACGTTGAAGATATTTTCAAATATCACAAGAATAGAAGTTTTTTTTCAGATTTTTCAAACTACAGGCCCATTTTCATAACATCAGTGGTCTGTAGATTAATGGAGAACATCATAAAGTATGCACAACAAACTTGCTTGAACCGTTTGATTTTATTACAAAAACTAGGAAGAAAGGCATTTCAGTTGATATAATACTTAAAGACTTTAGCAAAGCATTTGATCAAGTACCATGCACACAACAACTGCTTAAGAAAAGGAATAGCTTTACTATTCTGCATACAGAATAGTAAATAAGATGCTCAACTAATAAACTAATTAAAAGATCGAAAACAGTGTCGTACTAGGATTTGCCGTACTGGATATTTACCAAATGTCTTTAAATGAAAGTAATTCACATTAGTAAATTAAATAAAAAGTTCAACTATCAAGTAAATAAATATCAATTATCAAATATAGAATTTGAGAAAAACTTGGGAATGATCATCAGCTCTGATGATCACTCCCAAGTCTTTCTCAAATTGCAAAAAATTGAGAAGGAATTGGTAGCGATCAATGTGGATAAATAAACTGATAAATTATATTGGAAATTAAATATTTGGAGACATTTCAGCAAGTAATAAAAAAGTTATGAATATTCTTTGAAAATGCAACTTCTGCCTATGTGTGCATGCGTCTGTATGAGTATTCATAAAATCTAAGATATGTCTCTGTTTAGGCATGATTTAAAATTAATACAGCTAATAAAAAAATTTGTCTGATTAATATGAATTAGTAAAAAAAACTGATTACTAAATACATAGTTTATATAGATATTTAAATACCAAATACCATTTAAATATCTATATAAACTAGGTTGGAAAATTATTTTGAATGAATCAAGTCCACTTTTTTTTTGATTTTTTATTCTACTATTTTTTATTTTATAACTACAATTTTGTATTCAGCAGGTTTTAAACTCATCTGAAAAAATCCTAAACAAAAAGTAAATTAAAAAAAAAAAAATATCCAACTTTTATAGTGAGTTTTTAGACAGCAATATAGTTAAAGCAGAGTACAAACCCTTGATTTTTCAAAAAAAATAAACGAACTTTTTATTTATTGATGTTTTATAAAGTATATTTATTTTTAATTCAAGTTATAAAAATCTTTATGAATAAAAGTGCGTATGCATAACGCTTGAGCTAGATGGACTTTTTTTCATTAAATATTAATCAAAGAGTTATTAGTATATTGCGTTCTTAGATTGCTCGTTTTATGGTTCCAATGTTATTTCATAGGAATTACTAATTAGGCAGTTTAATTCCAGAAATAAAAAAGTTTTTCTTAATTTGTTCCTAAAGCTTTTTTAAGTGGTTTTCATATTTCAGGAAATGCCATGTGATCACTATATGGTACATAAAATGCTAGATCATTTGAGCATTTAAAATTGTCTTCCCTTACTCTGTTTTAAGGTCTCTGCAACATTTATCACATAACATTACAATCTAGTTGGCTAATTTTACATTTACACACAACAAAAGATCTTTTTTGGTTAATTAAATTCAACAACTATATAAAGAACTAAACAATGATAAAATTCTGTAAAAAAATGTTTTTGCATACCGTTTCGTCTTCAGGATTTCCTTTATTGATAGTATGTGCACTTATCACTTTTCCTGGCCATTTTGGGTAACCAGGTAAATGAGTCCAGACAATGTCCCCAACTTGATGAACTGATTGCTTGCTTATTTCAGTATTTAAAAAAGATGAAGCCTTTGTGTTGGAAGAAAGTGTGTTAGTCAGAGATGCAGATTCATGAGACAACACATTTATTTGTTTAGATGAACTTTCAGATTTCTTTTCTGTCAGCGTATTTTCTGTTTATTAATAAAAAATTAAAATTTTATAACATTTTTTTATATTAAATTTTCCTTATATATCATGTAAATGATAGAGCATGAACTTTACCAAAATAAAATCTCTCTCAATCGCTTGTGGGTTGTGGGTGTGCAAAGTGTTATACACACATGGGTAAAAATCAAAGACTACAATTTTTCAAGTCAAATATTTAATAAAAATAGTTTTTCCTTTATGTAAACTAATTAGAAACATAAATTTTGAACTTTTTTCAACAAGAGATTTCCATAATTTAAGTTTTCAATTTTAGGAAAAAGGGGAATACAAAAAAGTACACAAGTGTAGGGTGTCAACAAGAAATAGAGGTTTGTGAATTGGGATTAAAATAACTAGTGTTAAAAAGTTGCTCTTTATAAAAATATGTATATACATATTTTTAAAAAGAGCATTTAGAAAAATCATAGCTACAAATAAATATTTACAAATAAAAAAACCTTATATTTTAAAAAATTAAAAATTGCTCAAACCTATTATAATAAAAAAGTGAAAAAAAGCTTTTAATTATAAAAATAAAAAAATAAAAACAATTTAAACACCCACAAACATAAACTCTTGTGACAAAACTTAAACTTAAATAGTTTCATATTGTTTTTTTTATTTACAAAACAAGAATTACAAATATTACCTTTTTTCAAAACTTTGTTACTATCGCAGTTGCTGTTTTGAAAGAATATTTTGACATTATGAGTTTCACCATTTTGAAATACTGGCAAACTTGTAGAATGATTTATTTTAACATTGTTACATATGGTATAACCAGAATAAATTGGAGATGCAGGTGACAATACTCCAACTTTACCAGAAGATATTGTGGGTGATTTTTCTGTTTCTCGAAAGATGTTTGATACAAATGTTTGTGCATCTGATAAAATGGACACAGGGACACTAGCAGCAGTAAACTTTTCAAATAGTTCTCCAGTAGCATTTGTTGATTCTTGGCCAATCATTTTTTCTTTTTCGAACAAATTATATGTTGTTGGAACAGTCATCGATTGAGTTGCTGGGGCAATGCGAACATAATTGCTACCAGATCCCATAAATCGAGATTCTCCTGCTTTAATAGTAGGGTATAAATATGAAACAGGGCTTGTTTGTGCTTTTGGTAAATATTGCATAACTGGATATGAAATTGCTCCAGAAAGAGACAAACTTTGTCCATTTACTGTAGTAACATAATGAAGAGGTAATGTTTGTGGCAAGTTGACTTTTGATGAAGTGAATTGATTTTTTGAAGTTTGTAAAGATCCTTGAATTTGTAGAGTTCTATTAACTACAGAAGAGTTAGCTACTGTATTACTTACTAATGATGTCTTTATTTGCTGAGATTGCAATGAGGGTGTTGCATTTTGATTATTCACTAACAAAAACTGCCCTTGTGTAGACACAAAGGATTGATATGGACTTGAGGAATGGAATGGTTTTGAAAAAGTCATATTATGGGTTTGCGAAGTAATAATAGGATTACTATTTTGAGAGACTAACTGAACCAAATACATATGTTGATTTTCCTGAGTTTTCAAAGTGCTACAAGGGGGGGAACTTTTAGGTATCGATAAAGGCCTATTTGCTGAGGGTTTCGATAAATCTGATGTTAATGTTTTATGCTCAGGGTTAAACTTGAGCACCGCTGAGTCTTTTTCAATTAGCTTTGAAACTATTGATTCACGGCTTGCGTTATTTGTAAGATCTGAAATAGTTGAACTTGAAGATAAAGTTGAAGCATTTGTTATAACTGATGGAACTGCTCCCTTCGAAGAATTAGAATCATACTGATTTTGTTTTGATAAAAACTGATGATCAACTGAGTTAATTTGATAACAAGCATGCTGCAGTTCCTTAACTAGGGAACCTTCAGATACTAAAGAATGTGAAACAATATGCTGCTGAAGATTTTGAGTACTTTGAATAGTACTAATAGAACGGAGTGTTGGAATTACTTCAGTATCCATACTCTGAGTTTTTACTTGATTTAGTGCTTTTAACTGTAAATCACTAGCTTTTTGAACCACAGCATCTTGAAGAACTTTTTGAAACACCTTTTTTGTTGGATAACCTGATACTAATAAGTCATCTTTATTTTGTTTTTTAACACGCTTTCTTGTACCCATTAAAGAAGTTGAGAAAGGCATTTCAACTCCTATTGGCAATGAAAGTGAACCATTATTAGAAACACTTTTTTGATTCATAGTTTGCATTGTATTAGTTTTTCTGTCTTTGTCACTACTCAACAAATCTTGAATAGTATGACTGATTTCATTAGATGAAGATATAATTGGTTTAGAATTTTCGAAAGGTTTCACTGACTCCACATTTTCAGAAAAATTTTGAGCAAGAAATTCTTGAATAGGTTTTATCGGCTGAACAACATTAACTGATGCAATCTTCATAGCATCAATTCCAGTTTGAAACATCGACAAAGGAGATGCGCTTGTAAGAAACTTTCTTTTTTCATTAACTTTCTTTTCTGCTAAAACTGATTTCGTTTTACCTAAAACATTTGTTCAAATATGTATATAAATATATATATATATATATATATATATATATATATATATATATATATATATACACACGCACACAAACACACACACATATATATATATTAGTGGTGTACAGTTGTATTTTGGCTGGTCGCCTGCTAGGCAATTGAGAATAAAAATTTAGCTAATGTCAATCACCCGACAATATTTTAAGCTTTCCTTCACCATATTTTTTAAAATTTTGTTTTCAACGTAATTCTTGTACAGCCATTTTTGCATGTATACAAAAATGACTTTTTAACCCAAATGATACATTATTTCTACTTATGCTTTGAACTAGAAAATATTTTTGCAAACCAAAATAATTATTAAACAATTGATAATATTTGCTCTTCACATTTTAGAAAAGTATATTTTGGCATGAATGACTTTTCTCATATGCTTTAAGTGCTTCTTTTACAAATAATTTTTTTAACACAATAAAGCCTTTATAAAAATGAAAAAGAAGTTCACAAGAATAATTATGATTTTAAGGCAATAAAACAAAAAACTAAACTTAAATATATTTTTTATCATTATCATTACAGTTCTATAATTATCATCTTTTTATTTGTTTTATCAAATTTGTAATTGTTTTGGCTTTTTAACACTAAACACACAAAATGTAAATTAATTTGTTTTTTTATAGAAAATTTTAATGAATAATTAAACTTCTTGTTTACTGTATACCGTTTAACAGTATTTAATAATGATATAAAAATATAAATATTTTAAAAATTAACCAGTATAAAGATAAGTATATTAGATATTTGAATTTATTAAATAATGAAATCTCTATTTAAAATCTTTTTTTTACTAAGACTGTCGAAATATGAATATGAAAACATAATGCTGTAAATACTCAAAGTAAAAAATCGAAAAAATAGTTTTAGTGTTCTTTTTAAGTAATTTTAACTGAAAAAGTTGTTAACTTTTAATGACATTTAGAAATAGTGAAAGTGACCAAACAATTTTATACAATTCAAATTACTTTTTTATTTAAGTAAATTTTAACTAGACTTGAACATTTTACGTTCATTATTAAATATTAATAGTTAAAGTTTGTATAAATATTACTAAAAAAAAAATATGATTTTAAATTTATTTATATTATTTATAATATAAATATGCAACCACTAAAAATGAAAAGTTGCAGCTCATAAACATCAAAGCATTTTATTTATAAATTTATTTCTACTATTTTTAATAAATGCAGAAAAAAAGTTTGTAAAAAAACTAAATATGAACTAATATTTTATTTTTTAAACAATTTTTATTTTGTTCTAATTAAAAAAAAAAAAAAACATAAAACAAACTAGAAAACACCCAGAATTGCAAAATGGTAATGTTTATATGTTAGATAATTAAAAAAGTAACTGAAAAAATATGAAGCTGAAAATAAAAATATGACAAAAATAAAAAATAAAACTGAAAAAAGTCATTTCAGAATCATCATAGAATGCAAAACAAAAAATTTAACTTTGGATTTAAAATTTTTTCTTCTTATAGAATTATTGAACTAGTAAAAAGTATATTATACCATAAAACATAAAAATAAGATGGGCAATTTTTTGCCGACCTCAAACACTTACTAATTTTGAGGGCTGATATATATATATATACATGTTGAATAATAACTTGTTTTGCTTTAACCTTTTTGTCATGCTATTCTTTTTAAAGTTTCTTCTACCCCATCAATTAGTCCTTTTTCGTGGTCTGTAGCAAAAAAATTCTACTCAAAATTTGGAGTATTAAAATCACTTGACAATACTTTAGGATTTAACCATAAAGCAGTTTTTAAATTGAGAAGATGGACCATCACTCCAAAATGTTACTTTGTGTATAGTTGAATTGGTTGCATACGTCTTTAAAAAATATATTACAAATGTTTTAAATCCCTCAAGATAAAAATTGAACTTTTAAAAAAAATATCTTTAAAGTTAATCCTAAGAAAACACTGGCGCATGTTTTGGCTGTGATCTTTTTTATCTGTTAAATAAGCAACCATATTTTTCAAATCTTTACCATAAACAGCAGCAGTGAAGATTGTTATTTGAGATTGCCTCCAATAAACACTTTGAACTTGTTCTTGATGAATACAGCTATAGTTTTGGCTTAAATCAAAGTGTATTAATAATTCACCATCCATAACATTATCTATTTGGTGGCAATAAACAGACACTTGGTGACATTAAATTAAATAGTGAATCCAAAATGGAGGTAGCATTTTCAAAAACTCTGTATGTGTTGCATACAAAGACTATTTGATCAATCCCTGCTGTAGACGATTTGTAACCTTGTCTTTGTACCAATTTATGTGACTGAATTCAATGCATTCTTCATTTTGCTCTTTGGATGGTGGTAGCATTTGGTAGTTAGGACAGTTAACACAAAAACTACATGATAGTAAGAGGCAATCTGGAGTGAGAGGGCTACAAATTATCTGTTTGTTTACCCAGTTTGTGTCATTAGGTTCAAAATTATGGTTTGAGGTTAAAGCGTTGCATATATTAATAAAATTTTCATAAATTAGACAACAGCAGGTTTCAAAAGGCATCTCTGAATATGTAAGAATTTGAGCGGGATGAAGTGCACAAAATTGGGAAAATTTTATCTTGCTACCAATTCTTCTGCATACAGGGCATAACATTCCCTTAATTTATAGATCAAGTAACATTTTTGAAATTTTTTACCATCAATTTTTATAAAGTCTTTCATACCTGGAGACCATCGAGATATATCTTTGTGGTTTTAAAATCCTAGTACATGATTGAATACACTAGAAGATAAACGGATGCATTTTTTTATCTTTGATATATCTGGTAAAGAGATGTTCATTTCTATTGCTAACTGTTTAATGACACAATCTGCTTTTCGCGGCGACTTTGGTAAAGCTAATTTAACGCGGTTCACAGCACGAGCTTCTGAAGATCTCGAATGTTAGACAACTTCTTCTATTTGACTAGAAGAAGAACAAGGAATATCATTGATACCTTGAGCTTTTTGAAGATCTCTGTGTTTACCCTGTCATGATTTAGCAAGCTTCTTTTTTTAAAAATTTTTGCTCTGGCATTGATTGTTGGCAACAAATATTACTTCGTTCATTTTATATTTCTTTTAATTCAGTTTTCTTTCTTTCTCTATAATCTTTACAAACTTGTTTGTGCAATTCGGGCATTGTTTTAATATTTATATGCTTCCTGTATTTTTATGTAGAATATGTCAAATAAGTTATATTTTAAATTAAATCATAACCTTTAAATACACTGTTATATTAATTATTTAAATTTCTCTTTATAACATGTGTTTTAATTAAGGTTTTTCAAATTGAATCTTCTTCCTTGATGCATTTGAACATTTAAACGATACATTTAAACATCAAAAAGACGCGCTTAAACATCAAAACATCTGTTAGTTAGCAATTGTGACAAAAAAGAAATTTTACTTTTTTCCAGATAAGGATTTTATAAACTTTTTTACATATATATTCATTTCAAAAAAATCTTTTGCCTAATATAATTTAGCAGAAGCATTTTAGTAGCCAATTAGTTTTATCCCCTATGAAAAAGTCATACACTGAAAGCATGCTCTGTAAAGGTTTAATAGATGACCAACAGAGCTGCCAAGTTATGTAGACCTAGGAGACATGATAATAAAAACAGATGGTGTCATTGAATAATAAACAAAATCATAAAAAAATATAAAATAATTTGTAAGAGTCTTTAAAGTAAAAGAATAAAATATAAATGCTCAAGGGGCAGGGGGAGAAACAACTAACATTCTAGTCGCTCTGTGCATAGATCATATGTAACAAAGAATTTATTATATTTATTTGATTTACTGATATTAAGATTGCTTATTTCTTATATGTGATTGATTATATTTGTGATGGTGAAGCGCATTAGTAAGTTCTGTTTTCGTCAACTTATATTTCTGTTGAATATAAAGCTAAACACACTCACTTATGGCTAGCACATCAGAACCAGACATAAAATCTACAGAATGGATTTCAATTGGTCAAATGCAAACATTAGTCACCAAAGGCCACAAGCCCTTACTCGAAGCCAAAAAAGCTAGTACCCCGTGCTAATGTGGAATGATTTGTTATGAAGTGAGATTTTAGATCTGAGAAAATGGTCAGTGAGTGCTGATCCAGTGTACATGGTGGAGCTGCAGACAGACTAACGCATGCGTGAGCCTTAGTATAGTCATTAGGTTATTGAGTACCATAACCACATCCAGAGGGATAGTGTAATGCCCATTTTGTAGTTTTGGTGTATATTGGAAGAAGTCAGGGCTCACCACCCACAAAGATTATATTTATAACTGTTTATGTGACACAATGATTGCATATAGATGACTAACAGAGTTGATCAGTTACATGGGAAATGAAAAAAATTTACAAACATAAAATAATAGAACACTTAAAAAGCTAAATAAATCATTGTAGGAACAGAATTTGATTTTTTATTTTTTTGTTATAATAATGTAGTAACAACTTAAATTCTAATAACTATTAAAACTTTTTGAAGCCTTTTTTTAATTTCCAGTAAAATCACAATGTAAAATAAAATCAGGACACAGAAAAGTAGTCAGTACTATCTTTAATTAGATCCATATATTACTAATATATCCATTTATTTAATATCTTTAATTAGATCCATATATCCATTAGATACCAGTATTATCTTTAATTAGATCTAAATGAAAAATCAGTCGGCAAGATTATACTTTTATTATCTTTTTAAAAATATAAAACATCAATGACACTTAATGATATAAAAGACAAACTAATGACTAATTAAATTACATAATTTTAATGCTATGATATTGACTCTTGAACCATTTTTTAACTTTCTGATTAAAAGGTTGAGCAGTATCCATAATGAGCTCGTAATATGTGCAACAGTTGCAACAACGAATTCAGATATCTTGCAGATACTAAAACCATTTAACTCAAACAATTTGG